GGAAAATGTCTGGTCCATCACTCAAGTAGGGGCAGCTAGGGCAGGATGCTCAGGACCATGTTCAGTTGGGTGCTGAATATCTCTAATGACAGAGGCTCTGAACCCTCTTTGGACAACCTGACCTAGTGTTCAATCATCCTTGCAGAGAAGTTTCTCTGGTTCAAATGGAATTCCCTGAGTTTTAGTTTGTGCCGATTGCCTTTTTTTCCTGTCACTGGGCACCACTGAGAAGAATCTGACTCCATCTTCTTTGCACGTTTCCAACAGATATTTATAAACATCAATAAGATGCCCTGCCATGAGCCTTCTTTTCTCTAGGCTGAACAGTCCTCTGCTTTCCCTTGTAAGAAAATCATTTCACGATCCTTGACTGGACTCACTCCGTTAAAAGGAGAGTGCTGTGCAGACTCCTGTGTGTGCTATAAATCTGGGTGGATCTTAACTATGTCTCTCTGCTGGGATGATAAAAAGCTCATGGCTAGAGATGGACTTCAGGTTTGTTAAAGCACTATGGCATAGTATTCCAGCCATAGTGCTGAAGTATAACTGACATGGCTTCATTGTTTTCACATTGCTCTGTCCTGAAAATAAATGTCAAGGATGTGTTTCTTAGTGGCCTTTTACTGTGGTTTCTGTCTTTCTATAAAGGCTAAGCTAATGATTGTATCCTACTGGAGCTCAGCTCTCATTGCCGATGAATGTTCATTTCTAATAGTAAATCAGCCAAAGCATGAAAATATTTGAAGTTTTGTTCACCCTCAGCTGTGGGTCATATTGACAATGGGTTTATGTTTTCTGCTCTTTTAAAAAGTATATTTCAACAGCTTTAAAAATAGTGTGATTGTCTATTACTGTCCAAAGGCATTTGCGTCTGTACCAAGGCTTTATATGCAGTTCTCTGTGCAGCAGGTGTACAGAAATCAAGAAATTGACATTCATCTCATCCCAAAGTAAATATTTCTCATATGGCAGATGAACTGAAACATCCTAATAACTTTTCTATTAACTGAAAAAAAGCATTGGAACCATACATGGGTGTGTATTTCCCCAAAATAGGGAATTCCTACATATGCAGTTAAGTAAAAAATAGTAGGGCATTGTCTTCGGAACAGATTTGGTATGACTCCCACTA